ATGCCATTGAGTTAAAAGCTTCTGACTCTACTGCTGCAATGCCACGTCAACCAAACATATTGCGCGTATTAGGGTATTGATAAACATTGGTGGAAATTTGCTATAGGATGTGAAATGCTTTATTGTGCATCTTATCTAACAAAGCTCTATTCGTCGAGGCATCAACCACTATTCAAGTGTGAATATTAATCCATTATAAAACATTTCCATTGAGTCTAATGTGGGATCCATGTATAGGACACTTCTGCAACAAATCTTTAAATCTTCTCATGTTTCATACTTTCATCATTCATCTTCAATGAATGCTGCAATGCCACGTCAACCAAACATATTGCGCGTATTAGGGTATTGATAAACATTGGTGGAAATTTGCTATAGGATGTGAAATGCTTTATTGTGCATCTTATCTAACAAAGCTCTATTCGTCGAGGCATCAACCACTATTCAAGTGTGAATATTTAATCCATTATAAAACATTTCCATTTGAGTCTAATGTGGGAATCCATGTATAGGAAACTTCTGCAACAAATCTTTAAATCTTCTCATGTTTCATACTTTCATCATTCATCTTCTGAAATGAACTCAAGTCATTTTGAAGCTTAGCATTCATATTTGGTGGGTTGAATTGCAACAAAAACTTCTGCGCTAATTCATTCCAGGATGCTACAACACTTAGCAACAGTTAACTCAACTAACTCCTTGCTTTATCACGCAATGAATAGGGAAATAATTTCAGCTTCAGGGCCTCCTCCGGAACACCTTGCTGAATAAAAGAGTCGCAAACCTCCATAAAAGATCATAAATGGGCTTTAGGATCTTCAGCAATAAAACCTCCATATTGTCCTATGGATTGTAGTATTTGGAACATGATCGGCTTCAATTCGAAATTCACAACATTTATGACTGGCCTCACGATACCCAGATGTATATCATCTAAAGTTAGTACCATATACTCATGAATAGGGAGATTTCAATCATCTACATTCAAATTTGGTTGCCCAGCACGAACTTCAGCTGGAAACTCATAATTATACAATAGGGGTAGAGCATTGTTAGCATTTCCAACATGCATGTGTGCTTGATTTCTAACAGTTTCACTTCGACGGTGTCGAAAAGTTGGCTCTATCTTTGGATCAAATGGCTCTAGCTCGTTGTTACTATAGGTCATAAACCAACAAAACTAGTAAGGATTTGTACCTACAAAAAGAAAAAAAACCAATAGGTAAGTAAAATAAACTCTAACATACAATCAATTCTCCCTGACAATGGTGCCAAAAACTTGATGCTACGAAAATGTTATAGCATACAATGCAAGTGCACGTATTGCAAATCAAGTAATAAAGTGGTAGCAAACTAATTCTACGGATGTCGAACCCACATGGAGCAAAATAGTTATATTGAGTTTTTGACAATAAGATGAATCAAAGGAAATTGATGTTAAAGTGAAAGTAATGTAATCAATAATGAAATATACTAGTTCATGTTACAACATTTCAGGAAGAAAATAGTCATATATTGAATTAACGGATATGCTATTATGATTCCAAATTCTATACAAGTGTTGAATACTTAATCTATATAATCAACATTGATTAAATACATTTGAACTACTTTAATAATTTTCATCAATTAAAGATTCAAACAATTAACAATGTTAATCAACTGTCTGCACACTTTTCAATGTAACTATGCTACTCAACAACACCAATGCTCACACAAGTATATAACAACTCGAATAAAACTACTTATAGATTTAAACAAAAATACTATATATGTAATTTCAAATATTTCTACTCGCAATCATGAAGTTCAAAGCTCATAAACCAAATATCCAAGAGAACAAAAAATAAAGAAAACCATAATAAACATTCAATAACAAGTTAAACATTCAAAACACACACTCTCTCTATAGAAGATGTTGAATGGTGACCCGCTGACCGCCGAAGCTCTTCAGCAAGCTTCATTTCTGCTGCAGCAATCCCTGGTAGAAGATTTAGGCGTCCATGGCTTGAAAAGAAATAACATGGAAATGGTAATTTTGACCTCTCACCATCCTCACACTTTTTGTACCCAAGTACTCCCTTTTTATAGCTTGAATGAAAATCTCATTACCCAATAAGATAAATTCACGTTTCTGGTGTTATCCACCATATAAAAGTTATCCGCACCAGTTGTCCCAATCTAAAAGATTCTTCTAACTGTCTGGAGTTTAGAATACAACTACAACATCTTATCAGTATTTCCTGTAGCGCTACAACATCAGTGCAACAATTTGCAGCAACAAAAATCAAGTTTAACCCTTAACAACCTACTATGCTCATAACATGCAAAATATGCAAAATTAAGTAAATTTAATCCTAAATATGCTTTAGTTCAAACTAAAATTATATAATTAAGGCTACCAAAGATAACTCTTTTGGATAGTTATAAGTGTTCATGTTTTAAAAATCATGTTTTATAAATAAACTTTTACCAAAATATTTTATCTATATATTTTTATACATTGTAAGGAGTACACTGGGGCTTTTTAGCTCATTATTTAAATTTTTAACTTTCAGATAGTACCATATAGTAGTCTAGCCAACTTGGCATAAAAAATGTTGATATCTCCTTATTTTTGTATCATTGTATATTTCGGTATGCCTTTTTTGTTATACTTTGGTGACACGTGTTTTTACTAATATCTACACGCATGCTATTTTATTTTCGATGTTGTTTGAACTTTTTTGAAGATTATTTCTGTATTTTACCGTTACATGGATTTTATTTACTAAAATGGATTTCAAGTATGTTTCAAATCTGGAAATGATTTCTGTATACGACATATGACCGCCTAGATTCGGGCTTACCTTCTAAGACGGGTCTTAGGGGTTACAGACTCTTAATAACATTTCAGAAATTCCAAGGTAAAACCCAACATCCCAACATCTCAAGCTTTCATCCAAACCTCTAATTCTAAGATTTGGCTATATAATGCCTTAGTTGGGGGTTTAAAGTGTGTTTTGGGTTTTGGGGTTCTTTAGTACTCCAAATCCATTTTTAAAGGTTTAAAATCATATTTCTAATATTTTTAAGTCTCTATATGAGTTAGTAACTCATTTTTCCCATGTTGTATTAGTAAAAGAGATTGAAGAAGGTTCTAAAGCCAATGACAAAGTGAAGTTGGTTCTTAGTTTATTGAAGACGTTTCCAGTAACTAGGAAGGTAAGGTAACACATTTCTAATCTTCTTATACCATTTGTGGGTCATTAAGTGCATTTTCTTAGCTTGCACTAATTATGAAGCATATGAGCATAATCATGGTAAATTCTAGTTTATGATGTTTTAAAGCATGAAATATGATTCCCTATGACCCCCATAAACTTACATAAGACTTAAGCATCATTTGATGGCCTTAAGGGGAAGAATGAGTAGAGTTGGGTTGCATTTTTCATGCCCAAACAGGGCACTTTTGGGTATGGGTATCGGTACTGTAAGAACAATATCAATATTGTTCATCTGATGGTCAAAATAAGAGGGTTTAAGTATCAATACACATTCATCGAGTATCGATACTAAGGCTTAGGTATTGATACTCGGAGGAGGAGTATCGATACCGATTACACTTAAAAAATTCCAATAGCCAATTTTGGTATCAGTACTCGTGGGAGTATCGATAATAAGGTAGAGTATCGATACCCCTAGTAGGAGTATCGATACCAAGGTAATTTTCAAAACATCGAAACCATTTTTTATATCGATACTCGGGGTAGTATCGATACCCTCACATAGAAGTATCGATACTGCAACTAGGGTATCAATACTAGGTAATTTTTCAAAACATCGAAACCTAGTATGGTATCAATACTAAGGGTAGTATCGATACTCTAGTGTGCTAGTATCAATACTCCAACTAAGAGTATCAGTACTATTGTCCTTATTTGAGTAAGAAATCCTCTTCAATTTAAGGGTCCAGGTAGAACGATCAAAGGCCATCGAAATTTCCCAAATAAGATTTCAAGTGAGAATAACATTGATAATTATAATTACATTTAGAAACAATTTAAATTAGAAAGTCATAAAACTAGGTTACATGTGAACCTTTTATTAGATCAAGTATATAATATATAGCACATTTTAAAATAAATTTTCATTTTTAACTACATGGTTGATCACTTATGTTTGTATTTTGTTCACTTTTCTCACTGATTTTAAAAAAAAAACATAATATATGGTCACTTTCGTTTTTATTTAATTAAGATGTGATCACTACGGGTTAACTGTTGTTAACAGATTAGGTGACGTGGTATTTTGGTATAATCATACATTTGATCCTTGTAATTTACACATTCTCTCAATCACATGATACCATGTGTCATCGATTCCACATGTCGTACCACGTGTCACCATTCGATTGGAAGGTTTAAGTTTATTTTAATTTAATACATTTATTTTAACATAAAATATATTATTTTAAAAAAAATTTAGTTCTCTAACTGAATGGTGACACGCACCAGTAACACGTGATATCATTTGATTGGATGATTAAATTTATTTTAATTTATTAAAAGTATGACTAAATTTAGAGAACATGTAAATTTAGAGAATGTGTGCTTATACCAAAATATTTAACGACAATTAACTCGTGGTGACCAAACCTTAATTAAATAAAAATGAAAGTGATCATATATTATGTTTTCTGAATCAATGAGAAAAAGTTGACAAAACACAAACATAAGTGAACAATCATATAATTAACCCTTTAATGATTAAAGAAAATATTGTTTTTCTTGGTTCTTGAACTCGAGCAACTAGATTTACGGGATGCATATTAGGAATGACTAAGAAAATACTAAATAGGTATTACCTTCTCATCATCCTACTATTTAATTTTTTTATATAATTTTAAAATTTTTAATTTTAAAAAATTAATAAAAACCTTAAAATAAAAATAAATGTAGAGTTGAAGCCAAGAAGGGTTTATATGATATCCGGAAGTAGGCTAAAAATAATCCGAGTTCAACCCCAGAAAAAACTCTAATTCATTGGGGAAGAAGAAAGAAATACTGTTCAAAAGAAAGAAAACAGTCGAATGAGTACTTGGTCGGGAAGGAGGCCCAGGATCATGGCTTCTTCATTGCCATTGCCTCAAAATACCATCACCGACATCCTCTCTAGGTTGCCTGTCAAATCCCTAACTCGATTCAAATCCGTTTCCAAGCACTTGGCCGACCTCACTTCAAACCCTTCTTTCATCGCCGCCCATCTCCGCCGTTCCTCTCCCGACCCATACCTCCTCATCCGCCGCTACCACTCCCAATCCGGTTGGGACTACGGGATCTGGCTCATCACTGACCCCACTCTAAATTTCGCCACCCAGCTGCTCCGTATCCCCTTGGAGGAATCACTCCCTCGCTTCCCCAAAATCGTCGGTTCCGTCGATGGTTTGGTTTGTCTCGATATCTCTCCTTGTTATGCTTCGGATTTCGTTATGTGGAACCCTGGAACCAAACAGTTTAAACATCTCCCTTCGCCGTTGATCACTTCCTCAAGAGATAACCCTATTTGGATGGTCTTTCATGGCTTCGGTTTCGATTCCTTTAACAATGATTATAAACTAGTCAGGATCGTTTCTTTTAAGGGAAATGATGAGTCTGCGTCGCCTTTTCTTAGGGTTGAAGTTTATTCATGGAGGGAAGGGGTTTGGAAGGAGATAGAAGAACGTTTCGAGTTAGCTCTGTTATGTGGAGGCCAAGATGGAGTGGCTGTTGATGGTAGTTTGAACTGGGCGGCCATTGGTTTACAGAGATTCGACGATCGGAAAGTTGTTGTCGCCTTCGATATGGGAAGAGAGGTGTTTAAGACAGTACCATTGCCACCGGTTACTCGCTATGGTAATGTTAAAGTTGTGTCTTACATGGGATTACTGGCTGTTGCTGTATATCCATTAGTTTTTGCTGTTAGTGGTAATAATATGAATCGGTTCGAGTTTTGGGTACTAAGTGATTGTGAAGACGGGACGAAACGATGGACTAATTTGGTTGTGGTTGAGAATTTTTCAAAGTCTTTGGTTCCGGTAGGGACTTGGAGAGACCGTGAGCTGGTGTTTAAATATATGGGAGTTAGAGACAGAGAAAATCAGTCAAGTATCTTTTTGTTTGATCCGGTCGATCAAAGAACTAGAAGGCTTGCAATTGATTGTGTTGATTTCTGTTTTGAAGGTTTCAGTTATGTGGAGAGCTTGGTGCCTGTCAATTGAAGAAGAAGCTAAAGATGGTAGTGGAGCAAAGGCATATCTGAAGTTAGGACATTTTGGTCTATCTCTACTTGCTTAGGCCTTTAGTTTAATTAGGTATAAAACTGCTACAAGGCTTTACCGCTTTAGTTGAAGTATCTTCTTTTGTTTTATAAATGAATATGGATGGATATTGTGTTTATAGTCTTTGGTATATTACATGGTGAACTTTGCAATGGATTGCTCTTTCCTGCAATTATTGCATGTTTTCTGATGAGATTTCCTGCTGCGGTATTACTGTTTTACTTCTTTATAGCATTGCGAATCAGAACTATTCGATCTCGTAGTTATTCAGAGCATGTTTGCTCTTTCTTGAGTATATATAGTTGTCGCCATGGTCCAACCCCTAAAAGGATGGCTCTTTGGGTAGTTGGAAAGCATCATACTTTTGGTAGGGGAAACCAAATGCGTTGCTATTATGCTACAAATCTGTGTTTTGGCCCTTAATCTTCACATGATTAGTATGTCATTATAACAGAGATTAGTAGACACTGATCGATGTGAAAATTCTGTGTTTCATATATGCTTTTCTATTCGCCTTGCTTTATCGAAGCTGTTCCTGCAGTAGTTTCTTCTGCTTCCTATGAAACATGAAATTTGCTTAATTCCATTGCAATGCCCTCGTTCGCTCGCATTCGCAAGCGAACTTGGAGCATTGCAAGAGCTGCCATTGCTGCCCACTCTCCATTTTACATTGTTTATTTGGACTTGGTTCTGACTTGATTTTCATGGGAACTTCTCTTTGATTGAACTCCGTTGAAAGGTGTAATAGAAGCTTGGAGCATTGCAAGAGCTGCCATTGCTGCCCACTCTCCATTTTACATTGTTTATTTGGACTTGGTTCTGACTTGATTTTCATGGGAACTTCTCTTTGATTGAACTCCGTTGAAAGGTGTAATAGAAGATGGATATATCCCATCCCCCGAGCTGTTTTTATCAGGATGCGACTAGGCCGGAGAAACATCGAGAAACCAAGTGACGAGCTATATCAATCGAATTTAGGTGGGTATTGAATGTTTATATATTTAATTCTTTTATATAAAATTATATATTAGATATTCACTTGGTTAGTTTGGCTCAATCCATAATTGAATAATGAGATCTTTTTTTCTCTCTATGTTAAGGGACGGAGGAGATGAGAGAAAATATGATTTATTCACATAGAAGCCTAGGCTATATACACTATTTAGATAAAGTTAATCCTAACAATTAGCATAAGATTATGCTAATTTACCTATATGGCATTATTAGTCTATAACATTCCTCAAGTTGAGGCATAAAAATTAATTATACTTAGCTTGTTACATAAATAAACTCTATTTTCGTTTAGGCATAAAAATTAATTATACTTAGCTTGTTACATAAATAAACTCTATTTTCATTTAGTGTCTTTGGGAACAAATTAATAAGTTGTGCTCATGACTAGTGGATTGAGTTGTCTAGGATTTTATCATGAATAAAGAAACGATTAACCTCAATGTGTTTGGTTCGATTGTGATTAACTAAATTTGGGTAGGGTATTGACAGGATAGTCTACCAACTCTTAAATTGTTTCCTCTTGATTGAAAATTAAACAATAAAATGAAAAATTAAAAGAAAAATTGGATATGTTGAGAAGCCCTCCTTTTAAGATCTTGCTTTAAATAAACGTATATCTGACTTGGAAAACACTAGTTCTTCGAGCACTAGAAATATTAGGAATGTGAGCGTTTAAAGTTAAATGGTTGAAAGATATTTTTAAACAGATAGTGGATTGTACTTACTTAGATTAATCAATAATAATAATAATAATAATAATAATAATAATAATAGTAATAATATGAGGGCACAATTGAACATTTGTACTTCCAAGTATTGATTTGATTTGTGTTGAATACAATACGAGATGTTTCACACTTCTAATCAAACTTTTTTTTTTTTTTTACTTTTTCCAATTATCTCCTAATTTAGTTGTCACATTGTATTCAAATCAAACTCTTTAACACATTTCTTTTTTAAAAAATGACATGTACATTGAGGATCTAATGCTAAAAGGCTAGTGTCGAATAACAAGTATGATGGTTTTATTGCCTAAATGAGAACGTGTATGTTCATTTGAAATACGATGTTTAATTTAGCCTAATTTGTCCGAATTCTACATTTTTATTGGGATATAAATACTTGAATAATAATATTGATTCATCGATGTTCAAATTGAAAGAAGTTTCTAGTGTGTTCAATATTGATAGTGATACATGAGTTTGGTATCAATACATACGTCTTGGTACCAATACTAAAATAAATGACATTGATACTTGAATTATTTATTAAATTTTTTAGAAAAATATCAAATTTCATAATAATATCAATGCATTCCCTATGCATCGATATTACAAGCCAAGGTATTTATGCCCCTATTCAAATTTCATTAATATCAAGGTAAATTGTTCGTTTAGTACTTAACTTATTAGTTTTGGTTTGTCTTAGTACTTAAACTTTTAATTTTTTTAAAATTATACCTAAAATTTATTTTTTGTTTCATTTTAGTATTATGTTGTTAAAAACTTTAGTTTTTGTTTTAGTGTAGTATTCCATTCAAAATTTAACATTAACTTTTGAAAAAATTAAAAGCTTAGGTACCAAATGTGTTAAGTTTTTAACTACGAGATATTAAAATGAAATAAAAATTGAACGTTATGTATGGTTTTGAAAAAAATTAAAAATTTAGGTACTAAAACGGGTCAAAATTGATTGTTTAAGTACTAAATGTGTATATAACCCTTAATATTATTACTTGTTTTTCAATGGTTGTTATAATTACATGGAGGCCTTATGTGTTTTAGATTATTTACCATGTTGGTCCATGCATTGTTTATGGTGCTAGTTTGAATGATTTTGGTTTCTGATTAATCTTGTTATTGTTACGACACCCGAGTGTGCCATGTCCTACTCTATTTGTCCAGTCTTGATATGACGTGTTATGATTTTCAATTTATAAATAAAAATTTTGATCATTATTTTAAAATTATACAAGAAAAACCACGGCCCAAATTGTAAATCAAAATAAGTAAACAACCAAATTGCCTATCAAAGCTAAAGAGTAGGGCCAAAAGGTATACTAAAATACGTAAAAGACAAAATTACACCAAAAAAGTAAACGACCAAATTGCATATCAGAGCTAAAGAGTGGGGCAAAAGGTATACAAGAATAAGTAAAAGGATGAGTCAATTCAAAGACATGGAATAGTAAGTATATATAAAGGGTTAAATATTATTTTGACCCCTGAAATTACACCTCAGTATCTAAAGAAATTTTTTGTTCAATTTCACCCTTGAACTTCCCAATAATGATGCCTGTTTCCCAAACCTACTTTTATGTTGAAAAGATCCATGTGATACTCTAGGAATATGTCACCTATTCATTAAAAGAGTTAAAATATAAAAATATTAATTTTTAAAAGTATATTAAAAATATTTTTCTAAATATTTTCTTGAAATTTTATTATAAATATTTTTATGATTTCTTAGAAATTATTTAAATTTAACATATATTATGTGTCACATGACATGTTCCTAGAGTGTCATATGGTTTGTTATAAATGAAAAATTAATTCGTATAATGTGTATTACGGTTGAAAAGTTTAAGAGTTAAATTAAATTATTTTTTCAAATATTAAAATTATAATTAAGTACAACTTGAAAATTGAAAATTTCTAACGAGTTTGTAATACCCCAAATATCAGGTCAGTGACTTTATTGAAAAGATTTAAAATGTGAGGATTTATTTGATTAAATGATAAAAGATGAGAAATGATTTGGAATAGTGGTTTAGACTAAATTGTAGCAATGGATGATTAAAAGGGCATTTTGGTCATTTGGAATAAAATGAATTTAAAATACATATTCTTATTAGGGATTTAATAGGGGAAAAGAGGAAATGGAAGTAAATTACTCATCTTCTTCTTCTTCTCGTGGGCGGTACTCTTCTCCACAACAAAAGGTAAATCTCATTTAATTAGTTTTTCCTTTCGATTATGGTTTGCTATTACAACCTTAAGTGATATGTGTTGAGTTAATCGATATGATGAAATAGCCAAGAGAGGGGTGAATTGGCGATTAAAATTTTGTGAAAGCTTGAAAGAAAAATTAAAACAATTTGCACAGCGATTTAGAGTGGTTCGCTTTCTCAATCAAAGTCTACGTCCACTATCTTAGCTATCCACACTAAGGATTTCAACAAATTCACTAATTTGTATCTACCTTTGAGGACAATGCGTAACCTTACAACTCCCTCAAGAATTATACTCTAAATTATTGAGACACTCTCTCAAAGAGAAAATTACAAATTTGCAAACTTATAAGAAACCTCACAAGGAAAATGTTTGCACAATTCAAGAGCAAATAAGAACACTTGATAAATGAATACAAGTAAGCACAAGTAGTTTTCTTAGATAGCAAAATGAAAATTGATGAATGTTGGCTTGATTTTGCTCAAACTTGAAGTTTAAGGCTTTCTCTATTGTATCTATTGTATATTCTTAATCACCAATGGCTTGAAACCTTTGATTAATTCTGAACATTGGAGATGTTGTGGGAGTCAAAAGAGCCGTGGGTAATGTTTTCCACTCAAAATAGATGCTAGGACCGTCGTGGTATCAGTACCACACTCAATGGTATCGATACTACCTGCATAAAATTCAAATATTTTTACCGTTAGAAAGTAACAGTATCAATACCGTCCTGAGCAATATCGATACTACCATATAGTAGTATCGATACCGGTCAATGGTATCACTACCATTTCGAGATTCTGGAAAATATTTGAGTCAAAACCAAAGGAGTAGTATCGGTACTACAACCATAGTATCGGTACTACTATATTGCTTGGTATCGGTACCATTTTGGCATTCTGTTGGCATGGTATCGATACTGATAAGTAAGGAGTAAAAATTGATGTTTTAAAATTTTGAGTAATAATTGTATATATTTGAATAATTGAATCGAATACAATCTTAAAATTTATAAAAATTAATTAGCAAACTTTTGGTATATCAAAATATCAAAATGTTTTCAGCAATCTCCCCCTTTTTGATATAACAAAACATTTTAGGAATTTTAAGATTCTCTTTGAAAATTTACTTTGAAAAATTACTCCCCTTACTTTAATATTTCTCCACCTTTTTGTTAAATAAAAAAGACTCATATAGTATAAACAAGATA